GTGACGTCGACGACTTGCATTCCTGGCTGGCAGACAGCTTGTGGAGGATTCCTGCACCGGCCTGTGCATGTTCAACGCAATCAGACAGGATTTTTGCAATTCTGCCGGTTGCATTGAAGAAGGCCCGGTCTGCTAAGCCGGGTTGCCACTGGAGTAGAACAGGAACACAACAAAGGCTGAACGACTCCTGCAGCTGTGACGCACACTTAAAGTGAAAAACACACACACACACTCCCATCTTATTTGCATTTATTTACTCGTTTATTTATGACACGTTTGTCATGATTTAGATGTCATTCTGAAAATAAGCCAAGAAGAAAAACATTAACATTCAAATCTTTAATTGAGACACATCATCAGCTTTCTTCTGCTACTTGTAAAAAGCAAAACAAAATGAAGCAATTGCTTCAATAAGTGCCACTTAAGTCAACTGTATCTGTGAAAGTTGCCATATTAAAAACTTTTACTGAATTACTAAAAAAGTTTACTAAACCATCTTTGCGTGTAGGATTGTCTATTTCTCTTTAGGTCAAAGGTGTAAAGTTCATTTTGTTCACACATGTTATCTTCTCTATGGTGCAGTTACAAGAAGAAGAAGAAGGAGGAAAAAAAATCTGTGTTTCACTTTCACTTCTCTGAGAAATTAACGCAAAACATTACTGCAGGCAAGCACAGCTCAGATCAACCAGAATCATAAACGCTGCGAACTCTCACGTTTTGTGGAAACTTGGTATTGCAAAAACCCCAAACAAACAAACAAAAAACCCAGCTTATATTTCAAAGTTATTTAATCTAAAACACAGAACTGGTTCTGCTTTATCCTTATCAAGTGATCGTTGAGGTTCAAACTTTTTCTTTCAGTTTAGTTTGTTTAGACCAGTTTACCGGTTTGTGTAAACCAGTTTTAACTGTCGGCTCACATGCGTGACATGTTTCAATTGACTTAACTAACGTTCAGTTTAATTATTTATTATAGTGCCTACTTTCCATCAGATGTTTACTGATCAAATGTGCTTAACATTTGCCATTTTTTCAGTAGTTCAAATTTTCTATGGTCACAGTATAGTCCCAATAACTCTGATTTGCAGAAACTAATAATTTTGTTAATGTAAAGATGCTGAGAGAAATACTGATGATTAAATGTTGAGGAAATCTTACCAGAACTCCACTTCAGAATACGTGAATTATGATTTGTTCCTTTTAATCAACCTTCTAGTGGGTGCAGAAATCTTTCAGCTGATGTTTGGTATAAGTCCACACCAGTAGTTAGTGCAAAATTACATTAAGTTGTTCTATCTCAACAATGTACTTAATGATAGTATATGGGTCCTACATTTAGAAAGATTCATGGAATGTTTATTAACGGTTATGTTGCTTTTCATTAACAAGATCTTGAAATTATGGTGCAACGTGTTCAGTTTTAGCATACGGTGCAGTCAAACCCGACACATGAACCAGATAATCAGAATGAAAGGATGGCTCCAGGTTGCGGAATAATAACCATTGGAGTGAGTCAGATGCAACTTTGCTGGATCAAAATTGGTGATTCATTGCAAAACGCAGCTCAGGAAAATCACTAGATTAAGAAACAGCGATACCCAAGAAACAGTCACTGATTGATTTGGTTTTCTATCATGAACCAAATCAATCTTGCATTTCCACAGTATTTTCGTAAATTATTTTCTCATCTATAATGGTACGCTTGAATTTAAAGTACAGGGATTTATTTTAATTTTTAATGTTTAATGTGCCGACTTTTCTTTTGAATGTGTCACAAAGTGTGTTAGATTAGACGCACTTGAGCAACATGGCAAACACTTCTTCAAAGTTGATGTTTGTAAAATGTTCAAGTGCTGACCTAGCTCTGAACCGCTCAGAAGCCGTCATCTGATCCGATCTGCAGAGAGCCCAGAGCTTTCAGTGCACATGCACTTTAATTGGTACATCCTGAGGCTATACTAAAACTGGAGTTTTTCCCTCTCTTGGTTAGATTTGCCCTGGTTAATTACCAGTGTCTCCTGATGTAAACTGTGTGTCTTTTTCCATCTATCTATGATTCACGTGTTTTTTCATAACTCTACAGGGTGCAGCCAATTTATTCAATGACATCAGTTCAGAAGCTTAACCAGCTGTGCATGTCATATCTAGAAAACAAGCTCAGTCAAAGAAGTAGAGTAAAGTCATTGGCGAGACTTACACAAATACATGTCTGGAGTTTTTGACCCACAAAAAAGCAGCATTGATCATCACTGTCAAGATAAACACATACGGGGAAAACATTTGCATAGTATCGCTGTGTCAGTGATACTTTTTTACAAGATGAAATAAATGTATGCATACCCTGGGAACAAAATGACCCCCTCTCTCCATTAGAATGGGCCTCATACGCTCTGCCCAGTGTAATTCTATAAGGAAATCATGAATAGGAGGGGAAAGGGAGGCCCAACTGAGACAGACTTTTCTTCACAGCGTAACTCAACTCCATGTCTTCCAACATAACACCTCAGCAAGGAGAATCCCTCCAAATCATAGGTGGAGCAGGGACACCATTGCTGAGGCTGCTTCCCGGTAATTGCGGAGCACTTCCTAGTCGCAGGCAGTTGAGATGACATGAGAATGAGCGAACCTCCAAATACGCCCCCCCCCCCCACACACACACACAACTTATAGAGTAACCGCCCCACGACAGACTGAAACACACACATACGCACCTAGTTTTCATATAATAATCAATGTGTCTGAGAACATTCTCACCCTTTAGAAGTTGCTGCTGAATCTGTTTGTTGTGGTTGAATTATTTGAAGCGAGTTAAAGAAGTACAACAGTAAAGGGTTGCTTTGATAAGCTGGAGTCTATAAAGTCATCTATGGGAAATTGAATTTAAAACTCCCTTCTAAATGAGTTTTAAATTCAGCTCATCAAACCTGTTGGAAAATAATAGACATAAATACATAATGGTGTTTATTCTGATATCTCTCCCTAACCCAGACAAATGCACACAGACTGCTGGCATATGTTGAAGCACAAGGTCGACGGGGCTGTAAAACAAGCCTGCTCTCTTTGTCCACCTACGCAGCACTTTGCATGGTGTGTCTATCAGATGGCGGCTCTTTATCAAGGTGTGGCTGACACTGGCTTCACACAAAGCTCTGCTAAACACGTCTGCCTCTAATAACTGTGCTTCTGCATCTAGACTCAAGCACAAGACATTTCATTACATAATAAAATAATAATATTAATAATAATAACTGAAATAAACTAAAATCCAGGCACAGCTAAAGGCTCTTTAAAACCCAACAGTGCTCTAAAATATGATGTTTTTTTTTTCACTTTATTCGATATGCGAAGCGGTCCCGTAGAAAAAGAGGTACCATCCCCATTTTTACAATTTTTTTCTTTTATTCATTTTAAAGTTTGAAAACAGAAGTGAAACGGTGGCTCTTAAAAATGACACCTGATTTTCTTTAATACACATGTATCCAAAATGGCAAGATTGTGTTTCACAAAAGGTAATTTAAAATAAGCGCCTCTAAGCTTTGGCCTGAGGACAAAATGAGGATGTTTGAGTTGTAAATGCTCAGATTCGTGTGTTAGAAAGAGCCAGTTTGAACTTTCTCGCTCTCTCTCTCCTGCTCTGCATCCGTTATTCTTCCTTTTCAGCTCCTCTGGGATTTCTGGTTTCATGTTGTGATGCTATTTCACGCTAATCAACTACGGTTGCTACGGTTACGCGTCATAACAAAAGAGCAAAATATAAAAACCATTGGCAAAAAAAAAAAAATAAAATAAATGAAACAAAAAAACGATGCAGCTGCGCAGCATCCAGACCTTGAAGGTTCGGTTTTTGAAAAAAAACGTTTTGCCAAAAACGCTGGAGTGAAAGTTTCAAAAATGAAAACCTGAATGAGAGCAACAGAGCTACAGCCTCTACCCAGAGTGGCACCATTCTAGAATTGTACTTCCTGGGTAAATAATCATTGGCTTTTTGTAAATATCTGCTAAAATGCTAATGTAATGACGGCATTAGGCATTCACAAATGAAGTATTTACATCAATGATTTTAGACTGAAGTTGAAAACCACAGCACATCCCTTTAAGATTTGTTTTGCATCATATTCACTTTTTTTTCTAAAATGAGTCTTTGGGGGAAATTATTTATTCGTTGCAGTAGTAAAAAGTGGCATGGTTGTGACTAATTCTTAAAAAAAAAAAAAGTAAGTGAAAAAACCCAAAAACAAAACAATTTTACTTGTTTTGCCCTGAGTAAATTTAACATCCACAAAACATTTTCAACAATGTGGACCTAAAACTGTTGGATGCATGACTGGATGCATAATTATATGTTTTTGGGCCTTGGAGGCGCCCGCCTCCTGTCGATTATTGTGCTTTTGTGGGGAAGGGAAGGGATTATTTATAATTTCCAACGGTGGCTGGGCCTGGGTGTTTCCTCCTGACTCAAATCACAGAGACAGAAGGTAATTAGTGGATTTGCCTTGCAAACAGACAAATGCTATGTTGCTCAACTGCATACCTTGCTTCTGAATTTGTCAGTAGAGGTTGATTAACAATATCAGTACAGATTAATGTTGAACTTCATGGATGCAACGGATTCTGATGTTTTAGGAGTTTTGTTTTAATCAGTTTCTTATTAATTAACATATGTATATAATTACACACACACAGGGATATATATGTATATATAGCCATGTCATATACACGTTTCAGATTTATGAGATAATGCACACTGTGTGTTAAAGAGAAGGTTAAAATACTATTTAACCCTCTGAATCAGCATATAATACCCCTTCTGACTGACACTCTCCTCTAAGTTCACCACACGGTTCACAGAGCAAAGGCTTACTGGAGATAAATATTGAATGAAGCTGAGCTTAGGCGGGGGGTATGCAAGGAATACATGAAACATGAGTTGTGAGTTTTTCTTCAGGTGTTGCTGTAATATTCATTCTACAAATGGCAACTGTTGCTAAGAGACCCATAAAGCCAGTAACTGTTGACATTAGCCCTCCAGGTTAGCTTCCTTTGGAGGGTAAAACCGCAGACATCAAATATGATTTCCTGCAAAGTTTCCCTTGTTTTTTGTTTTGCAGTTGGTCAATAAGAGTGGAGGTGGATGAAGAAGAATCGGCTTACAGAGGTTTTCATGAACTTCAAGGCGTATTAGTCATGGAGTTACAGGTATGTAAACTCAGTCTGTCTGTTATCTCTAAGAATACTTTACATTTGTGTAACATCTGCTATTTTATTCAGTGTTCAAAGTTGCTTTAAATTTGAGTTAATTAAATGTAAAACCCAACTATATAGTAATTCATTCTATCATGACTTGTCAGTCTAACTTTGTGCTTTCATTTGTTTTTTTTTTCTAAAACATGACATTTCTCTGTCTGACAGTACAGAGCTCCTATAGATGTGTTATCTTATAAGCAAGTTTCATGGTTTTTATTGGGATTCTACATAATGACCAACACAAAACAATTTATAAGTGTGAACCAGAAAAATAACTATAAATGTTTTAAATAAAAAAGCTTGATGGGGTTAATGAGCTTGACGTCTGACACAGAGCTGTGCAGGAAGGACAAAATAGGGTTTAATTTCAAACATTTCCAGGCTCTCTAAAGACATAAAAAACATGAGACAATGTCCATTATAAGATTCATTTATATCAGTTTAATAAATTCAAAAACACAGATTCTAATTCAATGATATGCATTCATTTGAGTTATTATGCAAATCCAATTAACTGGCAAACGGGACGTTTTCCATCTAAGATCAGCTGATTGCATAGAGATGTTAACTGTGCAGCAGTCACTCATTCTGAGCATGCATGTGGCGACAGCAAAAAGGATCGACTGTCTTGTAATAGAAGTAAGAAATGTCCAGTAAAGCCTGGCACTTCGAGAGCCCCAGGAAGTCTTCTACCAACTGAAGACAGAGCAGACACACAAAACACAGGACTGATCCAGGAGTACTTTCTACATGGTAAAAAAGAAAAACAGTAAGCAGATAAAGGGAGCAGTGTATCCTTCTGTGAATATATTTAAGAAGAGAGCAAGACGAATAAGCTCTAAGATTAAAACGTATGAGATTAAAAAGTCCAGGTCAGCCTAAAAACAGAAAAACAAAGTGAATCATCTCTAGAAAGAAAACATGAAGGTATTGAGAGGCTGGTGGCTTCTTCTGAGAAGGTGACACAGCAAACCACGGAGACGCCAGCCCATGTGGGACTTCTGAGAACAACAATGGAGAAAAATATGAAGTCAGTTGGTTGTCATTTATAGTTTAAACTGAGAAAATAAGCCCATTTAATTCAGCTGTTCCTGAGAACAGACAAAAATGTCAACCTACAAACAAAACAACCAGGAAACCTCAATCAATTTACCTCCAATGCGCAACTGTGCATTTCTTTGTGTTGTTTCTATTTCCTCTAGAACCCAATAAGATACATTGAACTTTGTGATTTTAACATTACAGACGGTCTAGTAGTCCTCATGCAAGAGGCCATAACACCTGAGTCCTGCCAAGAAATGTGCAGTGAAGACACACTGGAAAAGAAAAACAAGCAGATTCTTTATGGAGAGAAAGAGGAGAACAACAACAGAACAATCTGTGTCGCTGGACTCACAGGAAATGACATCACAGTGTACCCACAGGGTGGGGCCATGGACTCGGGAGGAGGGAAGGAAACGTTCACACTTCTCTGTCAAGCAGAAGAGACTGCGTGGACAGACAGGTGTGTGTGTGTGTGTGTGTGTGTGTGTGTGTGTGTGTGTGTGTGTGTGTGTGTGTGTGTGTGTGTGTGTGTGTGTGTGTGTGTGTGTGTGGGTGAGAGAGCAGAGCAAGCAGTTATACAAGTAGTTTGATATTCTATCAACACATTGAGTATTTATGTGTTGACAGTATTTTATCACCTTAATTAAGGCATCAATGACTTAAAACAAGCTCCTGTATCTTTCTGAAAATTTACTTCCAAGATAATTTTGGCCTTATTTCAAGTGTGAGATATTTACACTAGAATCTAGAAGAAATCTACTTGGTAAGACTTTGTGTCTTTGCAGTGGATCAGCCCTGACCAGCTTAACAATGGCATTCATCCTGGGACTCTTCCATAAAAAAAAAAAAAAAAAAAACAGATGTGATGAGCTCCTACAGGTCCTTTTAACAAATCCTCCAGACCTTTCAATTTCTGCAGCTCCTTCACAGTCAACATGTGGGAAGAAAGACTGCAGCTGCTCACCACTTTTTTTTTCTCCATATTTTAATTGAAAGAATAATTTTTAAAAAAATAATAAAAATTAAGGGTGCTCAATGTGATAAAATGTGAAAAGCTTGCACAGGCATACTGTGTAAGCTTTTCACAGTATGTCTGTGTACAAAGGCACTGTGTGAATTTGTTGAACTATGCAATGTTAAGATCTATGTTTTAAAATATTAGGTGGATCCAAAGCGGAGGGCAGCTCCCAAAGGTCCAAACCAAGGGGATTGCGGCCCTGCTCTAACAAAAGACAGGACAAAGACATCAAGACAGAGGAGCCTCATGGACGTGGGCCATTCTACTTCTTTGGAGGAAGCAATGGGGCTGAAATGTGAGCAAGAGATGTGAAACACGGAAATATTATCCAATTCAACATGAATCCACTCTTACCTCCGGTGTTTTGTGTGCCTTTGCATATATGTGGCTGATTTCTGGCAGAGTGTGCGGCTACTGCGAGAGGAGAGGATGGAAGAGGATTTATAACAATCAAAGGGAAGATTTCAGGCTCAAGTGGTGCGAGACCAAAGCTCAAGTTAACTACAGCCGCTTCAAGCAAGGTGCTGTAGAGTTAAACAACACAAGATGGACTCTCACTCTGAACTGCACAAAACAAAAACAGCAACCAAAAGACGAACACACACAAGTTACTAAAATGATAAATCCACATATTTTGTTTCTAGGTAGACACTTGGTGTTCCAGATACCCAACAACATGGTTCTCACAACTAAAATCGGCCTCCTCACCAGCCTGCGGGAATTTGAGAGAATAAGCAGCAAAATCAAATACAGACAGGGACGCAGGTAAACCAACAGCTTTTAAACGGCTTTTTAAAGGGTTTGGATTGCTTGACAAAGCTCTGTGTGAAAGCGAAAATATAATCATTTTCGGTCCCCAATCGAACTGAGTCTACCAAACTATTAGGTGTGAAAACATGAACCTTTCAGGTAACAGCTGGATTTATACTGAGATTAAAATACTCACAAGTGCACTCTTTTTTTTTTTTACTAGCTAGATGACTTTTGTGGGCAATGGATTGGCTGAGGTTTTATTTATGGCTGTCGGATGAAAGGGATCTGAGCGAGTACATGACACGCTTTTTCAGATTTTTACTTGTTAAAAAAACAATGTCCCTGACAGGAAGCTGAAAATGGATGAGTTCATTCCTACAACGTTCCGCATGGATGTGAAGGAAGAGAGGGAAGATTTCTTTTCCCGCATCGCCCCACAGGGGGGTGAAACAGGTAAAACGCATCCTGTGTACATCCACCCAACGTCCCGCTGCAACGACAACGATTCACTGGTTAAACCGGATGTAGCTTCATTTGACAAAGATTAATCATACATGACTGCTTGTGAGCACGACAATGAAACGAAGTTTGTTCTTGATGGTGTGAGGACAATAGTTGCCCAGGTGAGTGTTTGATCAAGGGGTTGAAAACGTTGGAAAATAATGCACTTCACCTCCCATGAGGCCCTGATAAAATCACCAGGGTAGCATGCTGCTGCCATGGAGACGAGTCAGCAGAGGGCAGGGCTGAGACAAACAAAAAGATCCTGAATGCAGCACTGCTGCTGAACAAAGCTATGAGAAGCAGATGAAGGTCTTTTCTAAATTATAATAATAATAATACAAAAAAAAACCCCTACAGTTGATGTTGTGCTGGGACCTGGAGATAAAAATGACTAGATCTAGATTGATTGGTTCATCACAAACACATTGAGCTGAGTGGAGTACAGGTTAGTCAAACACAGCTATCACAATGCAAACAGGAGAAGGACTCAAACAGCTGGTTTAGATCTCTGGCTGACGGATGGATTCATGAGATCGACAAGAGAAGAATAAAACATGAAAAGAACTGAGTCAAACTAGAAACGTTAAAGATGTAAAACAGTTCACACTCTCTACACAAGACTCACATTCTACACTGTGAAATGAACAAAAAAGGTTCGCAGGTAGTCAGGAGCGACTCTTTTCCATTAAAAAGAAAACTTTCAGTGTGCATATGCTTAGCATTTGTACATTTCCAAAGTAAAGTATTGTGCAGATATCCTAACACCCATTACTTCAGCCTGCCTTGCTCTTTCATGTCTTGTGCTGTGTATGCTTAGGAAAACTAGAAATATGAGTAAACAAGACTAAGTGGACACATAGAAGACAGATTAAATGTTGCGATTAAAAAAACATAACAGAACAACTGTGACGTTCTCAATGCTTGCAACGTAATTTCAAATCTTCACTCTCAAAGTTATTGTGTCGCATACTGACAAGAACGATGACACTTGCTTAATTTTTTTTAACTTGTTGATACAATTTTGTATATTTCTTTAGATATAACTTTTCAAACTAATCTGAAAAATGAACTGAACTTGTTGCCTGGTTTGATATGAAGCATTAATGTGGATTTCAATAACTTTTTCTGTGAAGTTTCTTGAGATGACGTGTTGTGAATTGGCACTGTTCAAGTAAGATGGATCAAAACTTACTTACATACTGAGTATGTAAGTAAGTTTGCTCTTGTTTTTGACTGAAAATGAAAAGCAAGAAAAGAAAAAAACAAATGCACATAACAGATGTTGCGACAAAATGAATAATGTTAAATTCAATTTATGGAAAATGATATGGAAAGACAGATTCTTGTCCTTGTTGTACAGTTTCATAGCTGACTATACATGTGGTTTAAATGTGCATTGCAGGCAATGCAGTCAAAGAAATTGTCTGTCGAGCTTTAGATTATCTTTGAGATTCAAATCTAGAAATGTACTAACTCAGGAGCAGGTTCAGCTCTCACAAGCAGAGTCTGTAATCTTCCCCTTAGAGTAAAAGTTTGCAATAAAACAGCAGTAAAATGTAGGAAGCATTAACAATTACAACTTCCGGAAAGAAATATTCGGAATCAATTGCTCCACTCCTGGTTTACCTGATCATCATTCTCATCAGATTTGTGTTTTGTGCATTTATTTTGGAAAGTAACCACAAAAGTATTTTGTAAAACAGTAATAACTTCACATGTTTTGTACCTGAAAAGGCTTGACTTTGACTAATCCTTCACGTTTGACTGCAAAACTAAAGAGGTTTGCGACTGAAACAGCTCCAGGATAAAATGTAATAAACAATTACCTCGACATGCCTGATCCTGTACAACAGAAGAACAAACTGTTTTAATTGCACGTTGATGAGTAATTGATGTGGCTATGTTTGTGGTGGCAGCCTTGGAGAACACAGAGAGCAGCATGTGGATCTGTAAGCCCACCGGTCTGAACCAGGGCAAAGGAATCTTTCTCCTGAACAACCAGCAGGATGTGGCCGAATTCAGACTGAAGCTCCAGAAGATGGAGGAGCTGCAGGCTGACCGTAAGATGCCTCACCGCCGAATTCAGGCTCACATTGTCCAGCGGTAGGTGAACGTACGATTGTCAAAGTGTGAAACAAATCATTCTTACAAGTAGAAGGATTGACTGTAATCCCTTTCTCTACTTCGAGCCATGGTCATACAATTAAAAACTATATTATAATACATTTCAATATATTTAACACACTTTATTTTCAGAAAGTTACTTTTCTTTTCAGCATCGAGGCCTTTAAAATAGTTTTTTTTTGTATGCAACGTCTTATGATATTTTTTTCTCCCAGTTACATCCAGAAACCCCTTCTACTAAATGACAGAAAGTTTGATGTGCGCTCTTACCTTCTCATTGCCTCCACTGCGCCCTACATGGTCTTCTTTCGTCATGGGTATGTCCGACTGACGTGTGACGTCTACGATCCCAGATCCACAAACCTTTCTGCGCATCTCACAAACCAGGTAAACAGACAAACACACAGGATCTAACTTCTAACTTCACCAAGACTTTGAGTTGACTTTCATTCATTTTTCATTCATTTCTAACCCTGAACCTAACCATTACTTGTTCATACTTAACACCAATACTACTCTGTCATTAAGCCTAAACCAACTCAATTCACACCTAAGTCTTAAACTTCTTGTTGGGCTCTTCCATAGCAAAGCATTTCAAAAAGTACAAGCAGAGTTGACTTGGCTTTCTATCTGAAATCTGGAAAATATGAAACAACTTCATAGAACATTTTTGTTGAGTGGTTAACAGAGGTACACAACACTGATCTCCAGTACAACTTGCTGTACAGTGGAACACAGCTGAAATGGTTCATCTGATAACAACCCTGGTTGCTTTGTTTTCCTTCTATTCTTTACATTCTGGTTTCTGCCAGGTGTTGTAGCTGAGCTGAAATAAAAGATAAAAAAAAGAGTCACGCATCTCCACAATACTGAGTCATTCCAAGGCTTTAAAAAGAGTTGCTGCCTACACTTCTCTGTTTTGTGTGTCTCTTCTCCCCCTGCTGTTTGCCTCCAGTACATGCAGAAGAGAAACCCTTTGTACAGCCAGCTCAAGGAGGACACTGTGTGGTCTATGGAGAGCTTCAACGCCTACGTCAACAGAAAGTTTCAGGTTGCCAAGGGTCTGCCCAGGGACTGGGTGCTGGGAGCCTTTGCGGTGAGGTCTGTGGTGTGCTGTAGCTCTCAGGGACCAATTACCGGCACAGACGTGGTAGTTGGCACTGGGAGCTAATTGAGAATGTGGTTAGTTTTACATGAGCTCATTTCTGTATGAAGAGTCATCAAGTTATGGTTAAACAGGAAATATTACAGGTTGTTTTTCTCCATACTGATATGCATTGTAATAAGTCGGGGGGAGTTTTTTTTTAAGCTTTAGCTCTTTTAAATATAACTCTAAACCTTGAGTGTGGCATCATTTATGGTCTACAAAGTTAATCGTTACTCATTTGTTTTCTTCGGAAACCTGCTGATGCGTCTCAGTTATAAATCTACATGTGAGTTTGATGATTATTTTAAAGAGTATCTGCATCATGGGTTTTATGACTTATTAAAATGTGCCAAAACTCACTAATGCATCAGATCATTTAAAGAGAGCACCAAAGAAACTCATTTATCTTTGAGAGATAAAATGTTCAGTTTTGTTGGAGAGGTCGAACATGAAATCTGTACGACGTTGACGCGCTGTGACAAAGATGGTAGATTCCTTGACACAAATTATTTTTTACAGCAGCAGTGGCATAATATTTTACTGTAAGAAAAAAACATATTAGAAAAAGTTTGGTGTGAGGTCTACTAAATTAATCCTGTCATTTGATCCACCGTGATTACCCACGATCCATGTTGGCGATCCATGTTGCGTTTTGAGAGGCGGGCGGTGTAAACCCTCCTCCTGTCCCTGATTGGTTGTTTCTAGTTAGCACTGGGAGCAGTGCTAACAGAGGAGCTCAATTTGTTCACAGATTATTTGTCTCATGCCACAATGTCAGACTATAATGACAGTTTCAACAAATATGTAAAAATACACATTTTATGAAAGTTTTCTTACTGCAGCATTAATGTCTCAATGGACACGGCAACCAAAGTCAAATTTGTTGTTTGTGGACACGAGTTTGGCCAATGAATAGATTCTTAAACATACACTGACCCTGAGCCATGATAAAGTATGGATTAATTTATAGATATATATTTTTTTCTGTTCATATATCAGAAGCGCATGCAGCAGATTATGACCCAGTGTTTCTTTGCCGTCAAGACCAAGTTAGACTGCCGCCCTGGATTCTTTGACTTGATTGGCTGCGACTTCATGATCGACGAGGATTTCAAGGTGGATTTTTAAACTTCTGAGGCAGAGCTGGATATCAATATGCTCGTACATTATGTCTTCATGTGACTTTTCCAGGTTTGGCTTCTGGAAATGAACTGTAATCCAGCTTTACACAGAAATTGCAAGGTGCTGAAGGAGGTGATTCCCCGCACTGTTGGAGAAGCTCTGGGTCAGTTTAGCACATTCTGCAGATTTTGAGTACAAGTTGTTGTTGTTGTTGTTGTTGTTTTTTTATTTTTCCGGGTATGATATGTGTTACTGCTTAATTGCTTAAGCATCTTAAGTGTGAAACTTCCCCAATGTTCTTTAAGTGTTGTTTCATGGTCCTCTACTTAGCTACAGGTTTGTGCTATGTCAACTTTAGCATCTATTTCTACTTAAGACCCAATTTCAGAATTTTTTAACAATTGAGATATAATGTAACCAGTCTTTGGTTTCTGATTTTGTCTCTACCTTCTGCTTATTCATATTATGTTTCCATAAATTAGCACTTCAAACTGCCAAAAGTTTTGAGACTGACAGAAACCTTGTTTTACCCAAACGTTTCTACTTCAGGTTTTTATTGTGCTATTTTAAATGGATAAAGGTTGTTTTTAAGACTGACAAAATGGCATAAAAAGTCTCTTTTCACATGTTTACTTCTGCCACAAAATGACGAGGCAGAATCGTTTCAATGATCTTTAAATTCAGGTTCAACTTTGCTCACACAGCATATTTCAAAACACATTTATTCATTATGCATGAGCTGGATCTCTCAATCTTGGCACTTATGTTTGCTAAAAGATCTAAACATTTCCTCTACTGCTTTTTCTGCCTAGATTTAACTCTGGAGCTGTTCAACAAGCGTCGTCTCAGGCAGGAAATCTTCCCTTTAGTCAGTCAACAGGACTTTGTACTGCTTTATAGCGGTGTCTCAGGACATGTCAACAACAAGAGGAGCAATAGTAGTGAGTTCTACCAGAAAGCTAAAAGCAACAGGAAGTTCACAAGGCACAAGACCAGGACAGAGATCACAAAAGGGACTGGTGCATCACAGCAGGATTGTCTGACTGAAGTCACGGAGACAGAAAAGTCACCTCTTCGTCAAAACGCAGCGTCAGAAGGTGAAAGCCCAAAGGCTGTCAGGAGGAAGACCACACTACCTGGAGGCAGACGGAAGCTGAGCAAATGCAATTCGTTTGAAAGCCAATGATGATGGGAAGCAACCGAAGGCTTAGCAGAAGAGAAAGATCACTATGTTTACAACCCAGGTGACTTCAGTTCTGCCTGCAGGCCTTCTGATAAAAACTCAACGGTACGGACCTGCTCTGCTCTCTCTGAGCACTGCAGGTGGAAAAGTTTGGATGACAATAAAGACTGCCTTTGTCTTCCACAGCGTTGTCTATTCTTACTGTTGTCCTCTGCACAGGAACTCAGTCTATTATGTATTTTCCAGCCACATAGGGCCATTATGTAGCAGAGTCAAGAAGCTACTTTCAGCTGTTGTAAAAATGTATGTATCAAACATGACTTGAAAGAAGTTTGACTTTGCATTGTAACATTACTAAACCCAGTGGTGTCTCAGGTAAACCTGATGCAATCAGTCAAGGGTTTCATTAGTTCCATGAGGTGTGTTTGAGATAGAAAACTGTAAGTACCTGGACTATTGACTTAGATGTTGTAGAAATATGGCTGAGTCAGGAGAATTGCCCAAACAGTTCAGAGAAAAGCTCACTGTTTCACAGGAAAAGACCAGATACAAACAAAGACAGAAAAAGGCTCTGAATGTATCAAGTGATGCAGCAGGAAATATGCCTCACAAGTTTCAGATGAAGGTGCCTTCACCACCTAGGCATTACTAAAAGAGGAAGCTATTAATGACTGTCATCGAGGAGGCGGTTGACCAAAGGCCCTTGCTGACCGCCAAAGACGTGTGGCAAGACTTGGTGGCAGCAACCGCGGAGGTTTTAGTTACCAGAAAAAGCCACATAATAAACACTGAAGGGCTTTTTGCCTGAACTTCAGGCAAGAAGTATACCAACACTGACCAAAAAAAACAAAACAAAAAGAAAAGTCCACTCCAATTTCCTCACAGCTCAGTAAATAAACCAAAGGGTTTTGGGAATTCTGTTCTATGGAGCGACGAATTAAAACTGGATCTTGTAGATCAGTGGTACAGTACAAAGTGAAGTGACCCTAATGGTCCCCTGAATTAATAACATGAAAGAAGCTATGAATCATGAATGGAGGAGTCGATAACCAAAAGGGTTCTGTACCAAGTATGAAAGATGCTATTCTGACGGAGGAATGTATTTTTTGTGAAACTGCAGTAGTTATTGAAAATGGCATATTGTGTTTAATTGCGAGACCTACTAATTGAGCAGTGCAAATTGTTTTTGTTTGGTTTGTTCATGAGGAAGCATACATTTTGCCAGGAGGCCTCATTTCCAACAGAGGTTGAGACTCTTCCTCTCCTCACCCCAGACCGAACGCAAACCCTCTCATCGTCCTCCAACCGGGAAGATTGCCACCGGCCTGCGCCTCTTGCACAGCTTGTTTTGACTGTAGCTCTTTATCTTGCTGTGTCATAACTCGCAATTATCTCAGTCGACAAGCCACATTCAGGGTGGAAGTCAGCAACCATGACCGCACATATTTCCCAACAGGAAGTTTGCTTCATCATCCATCTGTGTCTCGGTAAAGGCATCAATGAACTCACGTTGTCAACAAGAAGAGGTGTGAGAGCTTTCCCGACTAAGCTTTCGTTTAGTCGGTGTGTCTGAGTGACATCACAAACAGCTTTCATTTCTCACAGCAGTGGATCGCCGGCATGTGCAGAGTCAAATAAGCAAAGTGAGGAAGCAGCTCAGTCCTCTGCTGCCTCTCAACAGGAAGGAGCAACTTGTGAACTGTGACTTGCCAAAACCTTACCACCTTTTATCTTCAGTACCTCTTTAGGAGGCGACACCTTTTGTTCTAAGGAGTTTACGGAAATATGCTCTGCATGCTGCCAGAAAGGGGGAACTAGTGCTCATTCTCCTTATGCCGCCCCTCCTCTTCTGAAGAACAATATCCCCTTCTAAACCCAACCTCCCCTAACCTCTCTACTTTTCCTGTTGTCTGCTTGGTTTTATTTTGCCACAAACTGCTCGGATGAGTGCAGATGGTTCTCAGAGTGTGGACGACTCGCTGAGACAGGACTAAGAACGTAAGGTCCTTGCTGGTCATGGGATGCTGCAGCGTGACTCAGAGGCATACGGGAGTGGACGAAGTGGGTCCAGATGAAATTGAACTGCTGGAACTCTCTGGAGACAATTTGGGGTAAGACATGTGCAACTTGTTTTGGGCTCAGGGATGTTAGTTGGTCAGAAATATCAAGAAGAGCAAAAAAAAAGAGCTGCAAGGATTGAAGGGAGCGCATCGTCTGAAATGTGAATCTGACAGACAGAGTTTTAATTTACATTTTTAAGCATGGTTTTGTAAGTTGTGGAAGAGAAAGTGTGGCAGAGTATGAAGTGAAACAGGCCACCACAGCTGTGGTTTCATCTGGCATTGCATTGTCAGGTTGTTAAAATGTAAAACCAAATGTTTTCAAAGCTGCACCATGTTCTGCAAGGCCATGCTCAGACTTCAAATGTTCAGAAGTACTTATAGCCACTCGAAACTATGATGATGTAAGAAATGTATCTGATTTCTTTCTGCAATAACTTTGACCAATTTGCATTAAAAAATGAACCAGAATCTTTAATGTTTTTTTTTTTTTTTTTTTACAAAAACATCAAAACTTAGAGACTTAGACTTAGACTTGACTTTATTGATCCCTTGGAAGACTCCCTCAGGAAATTATAGTTACCAGCAGCTCACAGGCAAAAATGTGGCACACAGTAAGCATTGAGATTTTGGTAAGTTGGCAGTTTCAGTTTTGTAATTTCCTTTTAATTTCATGTTCCTGTTGATAATATCAAAGAGCAAAATCTTTAAAACTAAATAATGTTGGATGTCATGAGATGAGGAAGTTAAACCATCAGTTTAAGTTTGAGAGTTTAAATTATTCTGTTTGAGAACTTTAAATGTTTGTTGCAAAGTTGTTTTTGAAACACATGAATTAGATCAGATCATTTTGAGGATTTTACAGACAAAGAAATGATTCAAATATAGCGTTTTTCACATTTTGTGACATCACAAAACTGTTTGAACATCTCAAACCTAAAGAAGTCCTTTTTCGGGTTTGCTATAAGCCATGCGGGGCGAAAAGGAAACGTGTAGGAAAGTGCTCTTATCAGATAAGATCAAAACGAAACCTTTTGGGCTAGTTGCAAAGCACTAGCTGTGATAGAAAACTAACCTTAAATATCCCTAAAGTGACTTTATATGTAGAGGGTGGCAGAGACATCATGCTGCAAAAATGCCTTTCTTTAAGGGGCAGGGAAGAAAAATGTTTGGAGAAAATCTTTTATATGCTGCAAAATATTTGAGATAGGGGAGGATCAAAGCACATTTATGAGTTAGAGTGGTCCAGTCAAAATCCAGACCAACATACAACTTGGTCTGGAACATGAAAACACAGAACCCTGTGCTCTATGTGACTCTCACACCAATATGAATGAATTTGTGTAAAATATTGTACTATAGCACTATACTATTCTGTATTTTCTGTATGTGTAAAAATCCTGACATTCCTCAAAAGACTTGCAGCTAAAACGTTTGAGTCAGAGAAGCCAAACACAGATCTATCCCACACTTTCCCCACTTTTATCGATAAACGATTTTGAAAATCATGACTCAAGTTCGTTCTATTTCACAGTTACGTGCTGCTTTTTGTCCGTCAATCATATGAAGTATAAAACACACAATTTTGCAAAGAAAGACATGTGAAAAAAGAAGTATTAATACATTTGCAGAACTATTCACAGTGCCAGGACGTTTATCAAGTCGTAAAACTTGATGGATCCGTGGTGATGTGTCAGGCTGATGCTATCAGCATCGATATGATATTTTAACCGCCAGCAGGCAGCGAGAAGAACGACACGGACCAACATAAGCATTCCTGTTCCCCCGGGGTCAAATTTGTGAAGCTAGTGAGGCGACACTGATATGATTAGCAGATTATAGCCAGACAAGAGCGTGGAGAGGTTTAATGCAAAGTAGAGGGCTGGACAAATCCTCCATCAGTCGGAGGCAGCAGGGATTACCAGGAAGCTAATCGCAAACAGGAACAGCAGCTTCTTATGGGTTGTTTAATTAATGCCACTGAAAGCAGCTGGTCATTCCAGACTACAACATGAATCCAGATGGGTCTTTTAGGAGGAAATGTCTGACTTACAAAAGAAATACAATGCTTGAAGTGAGTTACCTCATCAGTCAAATCCACAGCATTTATATCTGACAACATTACGTAGTGATCACCATGCTGAGCTGGTTTTGTAATTGCACAGAAAAGTGATATATTTCCTGCAGAGTAGTGACGTATTTATTATGCCAGAGAAAATAGAACATTTCCTTTGAAATGCAGTACTTCAGTCATGCTTACTAAGATTATGCATTTATAGTGTAATGTGGTCACAAAAGCAACCAACATAAATACTAGCTGAAATTTTTCTCTCTTTCCTTGCACTGGAATGTGTTGGTCATAATCTCTGCGACATGTAGAACATCTTAGCTACAGGCTGGGGGGTAGACAAGAGGGCCCTGGGGAAGACAATGAAGGGAGCTGAAAGGATCATTGGATCTGAAAAAGATCATTCTGTCCAGGATCTGGTTCAGAGCCACTCCAGGAGCAGAACTGAGCATTCTCTGAGACCTCTCTCTTCATCCCTATGAGCTTTTTCAGCAATTGCCAGATCATGTCATGGGAGGACATTTTCTTCATTCAGGATTCCTGGAGTATAATTAAATGTGAGTTCATAAAGTTTGTTTGCAGAGTGAAATGAAGTTTGCACACATGCAAACTTCATGCATGTGTGCATGCATGTGGTACTTGCAGAAAAATGTGAACACTATTTGCAGTGTGATTCGGTTAAGGTTTAAAATGCAGAAGTCTGTGAGATACCAGTTGACATATGTTGTGTATGACTGCAAGACCATATGCTGTACACTGGTCTGATAGCTCTAGTGAAGGAGTATAACCAATTCATCTGGGTCACACACACCCACACACACACATAATGTCTATCTATCTCCACAAGGATTTACTGTACACCTAACCATTACCAGTACATGCCTCACCCAAAACCTGACCTAAACTCAGTTCACACCTTTAGTCCTAAACCCTGATGACAATTCGCTGGTTCTGTGATCACGCACCGATATTTGAGCAATTTCAAGAGTGCTGCATTCCTCTAAAAGACCTTTTACAATTCTGCACTTTTCATTGTCACTTAAATCTCATTGGCCCATTTTGTCTGAAGAAAAGAAGCTGCCTAATAATTATGCACACAGGGTGTTGATCTCCTTAGGCCCAACATGCATGAAATTATGATATAGTCACAACTAAAACTAGCCTAATAATTGTGCACACAGTGTACAGGAACTCAGCGTTTCAGCAGTTTTGCTGTTTTCTGGAATTTGTTCCAGGTTAGAGAAGCACACACACAAAAAAGGTTTGCTAATCCAAACATGTAGAGACCTGCTACTTCTCCATGTCTGGTTGTGTGGATGCAGATCAGACCAGAACCAGAAGACCAGACTATAAAAACCTTTATCATAACACTGTGTCTGTTTAATAGTTTTTACATCAACATGATCGAAGAGAAATCCTTCTTTATTCTACGTAGCTCCCAGTGAAATGACAGGTTTGGTGTGCTCTAACTTCCACCAAACTAATCTATTCAACAGTCATTCTTATTGGAGGATAAAAGCTCCAAATTGTTGCAGGAATAGATAAGCAGCACGTCTGTCTCCCCTCTGATCTCTGTAATCTGATTAGTCTAGGCTGGGGGGATGCAGACATGTTAGCGCTGGGTTTTAATACTGTTGCTCCTTATGTTAGCTTCATATTGTTGACAATGGCTGTTACCGGCTGGACAGAGCATACTTTGCAAGACAAAAAACGTCAGCAAATTCACAGATTTGTTGCATTTCTGACACTCAAGAATGTTTAAAAAATGAATTAATTAAACATTCACACGTTGTCCAAAGCAGCGGAGCCACGGTCATTTTACTTGCTGCAGCAAGTTCATCACTGACCCCTGACACACGATGTGTCATGTCTCCGTGTGTGTGTGTGTTTTCAGAATATGGAGTCTGAGCGAAAACAGAGTTCAGCTGTCGGTGAGGAACAGCAGAGATGAGCAGCAGCTGGAACCACAGCTGCCATGCAAAGCCTCCGTGCGACACCTGGAACAGGAGGTCAGAGTAAAGCCACAAACCCATTGCAGATCTGAAGCCTTTAAAGTGAGAGTGCAGCGGTGGCTCCGTAAATATCAGGCAGACAAACAATTTCCATTTTCTCACACTCACACATGTATAATTTACTCTGCAAGAAAACAAGATAAAACAGATTTTTTATTATTTTTCTTTTACCTAAGATATAAAAAAAACTAGGCAACACATTTTTCCCCTAAGCTTTACTTTTGATATTAAACATGCAAAGAGAAACATTTATTTTATTTATTTGTTTTTTTTTTAAGACAGCTTTGATTAACAATTGTTCACAGACCCTAAAAGTCTGCTGGAATTTTCTTTGGCTGCATTTTCACTCATGTTGAGTCCAAACAAAATTGTGTTTGTAGAACAGGTTAGTTGTAATTCTTTAAAAGTAGTTTGTTTTTGTGTTTTTTCTATTTCTTTGTTTAGTGATCCTGTGGAAAATTCTTCAGACATGTAGACAAAAAAAAAAAAAAAACTTGCTTGAGCTGTTATGATTTTTACGTTTTTCTTGGTCATGGCCTCCTGCAGGTCATGACACCCTGAGTGGAGAGCCATTCAACCACTGCCTCTGTGTGTATAGACACAGCACTGGTTCACTGCTTTCCTGCAGGACACTTTTTTGCTTGAAAAGGTCATAGTTCAGACAAACAACAGCACTATTTTAAAGACGTTAAAAATTAAAAAATGTAAGGCTGAAAATGTGGAGGGGAAAAAAAACAGCCAAAGTGCAAAGAAAACTTTTTTACGGTTTTCAGAAAGCTTTAAAGATTTTTATTTTTATTTTGTAATTCCAAAATAAAAAAAATGTAAAAGAACGATGTGCAGTAATACTTTCTTGTGCCTGCAGGTGGTGCTGTGGGGCAGGACCAGAGATGAGCTCCACCACAGGATTTACTCTCAGCAGCCCATCAGGGGCTGGGAGGGCCAACCTGCTCATGTTTATGGAGAGGTCATCCACTCCTCTGTGGTGTCTTTCTACAACAACTATTCAGAGGTAAAATGGAAAAAATGTTAGGAAGCTACTGGGGATTTTTCAAATAAAATCACTGCCTTACTAAATATGTGCTTCTTCTGCACATTTTTACACTCCTTATAAACTTTGGTAAAATAAAAAGATGAAGTCAAAAATGTATTATTACAGCAACACAGTCTCGTTCTTTTCTTTCTCTGTCAGCCTCTTCCCTGTGAATGATGGCAAGAAAACAATTCAGCTTTCAGGCTCGTTTGACATATTTCCATCGGTTTTAAACATTTGAACTAACATTCTGGTAGAAATAGGCAAGATCAACTTTCTTTTAGCAATTTTCTGGTTAATGAGGATCAGTAATGCCATGTTTTCTTAGCTTTTCCATTTTGTTGAGCAGTTGATAGAAATGGACCTCTGCGTCACATCATATTTATAATATAGCTAAACAGGAAGTAACTATTTAAAAGTTCCTGGACACACTTAATCATACTATTAAAAAAAAAAATAAATATATATATGTATGTATATATATATATTTATTTTTATTTAACCTAAGTGTCAGTCAAGGGTTGTAAAAGTTGCAGTGATTAGTAGAAAATCCTTTCTTAATGTGGGATGTTTCTATGACGTTGCAAAAATGTTTTAAAAATTCAATGCAAATTCAAAAACTACTTACTTTATTGACCGCAAATTGTGCGATTAAATAAAAATGATGTAATTAAAAAATGAAATGTTATTCCAAAAAGTAGGGAGAAAAAAAAAAGAAAAAAAATATGGTTAAATCCTATGATGTTAGAATGAGATTATGCCACTGCAGTTAAAGATAATTTTATCTATGGCCTTTTCTGCTTTCCTACTAATTTGCCTGTTTACTGTTTGTCATTTTAATTAACAGATTTAGATACTAAATTTAAAGTTTTTTTTTAATCTGCTGTTTATTAACAGTGCACCTTATTGGAGTGCAGTTACTTTATTGTTTGCCACTGAGGCAGAGCATTTTCTCTCAATGGCACAACCAAGAACAAAAACTTCTGCTGTGTGTGTTCACAGGAACAAAGTGAACGCTTCTTGTTGTTGTTCTCTTTTCACCTTTTAATCCTCTCTCTGGATCACTCCCAAGAAGACTTCATTTATGAGGTATGTATTCCAATCTGTCGTTTTTTTTTTTTATCCATCCATTTAACTCACCCTATTAGTCTGCGTTCACACCGCATTCTGAAGTGACCCAACTCCAATTTTCGTGACGTAACGCAGCCTGTATCTGACAGTCTGAACAACACAAGTCGGATTTTTTTTTGAATGCGACCCAGACCACTTGGACATCCGATACGTATCCGATTCAAATGTGACCTAACGTGCAGGTCACACTCATCCGACCTGAACGCCACAGATACTCGACAAACGGCAATATTCTGCTCTGGTCGGACAACAACTTCAAAATTGTAAGCTGTCCACCACAGTTAGCATCAATGTTTACTTCTGCAAACACTGAGCACCACTTCTTCTTCATGGCGGTTGGCAAAACACTTGGCACGCTCTCTATGTGACGTTATTGCATCCAGGACCCTTTGAGGTCGACTGCAGTTCAAACTGGAGAACACATACAGATTGCATACAAACGTGAATGGACACAGCAAAATAAATCCAATTGGACCAAAAAAATAATAATCGGAATTGGGTCACTTCAGGTTGCAGTGTGAACGCAGCCTCGGTTTGCTGAAAGATTTTACTCAATGCTGGTGGCGTAATGTCTGTCACTCAAAGGTTTTGCGTTTTCTTATCCGCTAGGGTATACTTCCTGTTTCTGGCCTGTCTGTTCGAGCCCTATCCCTGCAGCTGGATGCGTCACGTCCAACACACATGTTTGAGATCACCAGTGAGTGGAAATTCTTAATCTCAGCGAAGATTTGGCACTTGGGTGTAAACTCACCCAGTTCTGACTGTTTTTATCCAGGTGCTATGATGGACTCCAAGGTGTTTGCATGTGCCAGTGCAGCAGAGTCACAGAGATGGATTCAGCACATAGAAGACCGGAGATATGAGTCCATGATGCAACCCATGAGTCCCTCCCAGTGTGCTCTTTCTTATCTTGTAATGTTTTCACATCTGTTGCACATCTGGTTCCAGCTGTGGATGGCTGGAGTGGTGCAGCTGATATCGTGCTCGTGTCTTTGTTCACCAGCTGCCTTGCGATGAAAACTGGAAAAGAGAGGAGCTGAAGAAATATCTAATGCAGGCTCCTATCTGGAACTGGGAGGGCTCACCCATACACCACATGGGTCAGCCTGGACACATCTCGATTGTTCACATCATCAACACTCAAAGACAGGTAGTCGGCTTTTCTGATTTCATTTGCAGGACGGCTTCATAAGCACCTTCCCAACTGCTGCACACGATGCGACTAATCGTATATCATTCACTGATCAACATCGTTCAGAGGAGGGTGTTGAAAAATATAGAGAAGGCATTCACTTTACATCAACATCTGTTTACATTTAGTGTCCAAGAGGCACCATGGCAACAATGTAGTAAAACTGCAAGCTTGAGATCGTTATAAACTATGAAATGCATCGCTTTAGGGAGTTTTTAATTGATAATTGTGGTCTTGCAGGGTCTCCAAGAAAGACTGATGATTCTCTTTCCTCAAGATCTCCTGCTACTTTCTGTGGACAGTAAGCGGCTGCATATAAAATATGAGGTACGGTATAATGACTCTGAGAGGAAAATCCATAATAACAGCTCCTGCACCACCACGAGACAGATTTGTGTGAAAATAATCATTACAGTATTTGATGTTTTATGACACCAGTTTGGGGGAAGGTCTTCCCAGTCAAACCTGCTACATGTGTTTTTCTTAAAATGTGTTTTAAAGAAATCAAGAAATGTACCGTAGTATAATTAATGAAATGCACAAATTCCTTCTTTGTGTTTTTCATATTGTCTGTAACAGGGCAGGTTGGCCAGACAGAGCTTCAAGGCAGTGGAGCGCTCTGCACTTCCTGGACGCTTAGAGTTTGAACTAAGAGGTAAACGCGTCAGAAAATGTTTTCCTGTCTTCCTTTTTTTAAGAAGAAACATTCCTCTTTTTTTTTGTTTTTGCCATTTTGCCCAAATAGGGAAAAAGCAAACACACTTACTGACTTTCTAGAGCGCCTGTGTTTTTGGCTGCAGGGGAGCTGCTGGAGACGCTGCAGGTCTCCTGCACCTGTGTGGAGGATTACCAGGCCTGGATTTTCCATCTGCAGCAGGTTAGACTAATTTTTCTTGGATTAGATTAGCTGTGCTTGTCACATGCACAGATGCACGCAGCAATGTGAAATGTGTTGCAGTCAAAGAGAAAGGGGCGGAAAAAAGAAGAGAAAAACACGATAAGGGCAGAAGTTTCACGCAGCACATAAATAATATCAAATAATAAAAAGACAATAACTATAAATTATACAAAGATCTTAAAAACCAATAAAAAGATAAGAACTTAAATTAAGGCTCCAGAACTGAGCAAATAAATGACTTTGTTCTTGTGTTATTTAACATATACTTGCTGTCAAAATTTTGATTTCTGTACACTATCAGCATTAAAGAAGGGTTAAAGGCAGACTGTTGTGTTACATAAATGGTATTCTTAGCACTTTCCTGGTTAACGTCTCCTTCTTATATTTTCCCAGGAATATTGACAGTTCACTTTGACCGAGCTGTTTTTTTTTCTCTTCGATCCACAGCCAGACAGAGACAACCACATTATCATGAGTCAGCCGCCGCCTCCCTTGATGCCAAAGCTGCAGAGGAACAGGAAGGAGTCGCAGGAGCCGATTTTAGCAGCCGACCAGTGTCACGTCAACGGCAGGAGCTGACCTGCAGTTCTCAGAAAAATCTTTAAAACCGGACTGTTCAATATAAATCCAAATCAACTTTTAGATAAAGTATTTATGTTTGCCATAATAAGGGTGGAACGCTCTTTTCCTAATTTAGATATAAATCGTTGAGTTGATTATTTGTATGTACCGGATAAGGAAGTCTGGTCTATTTCACGTGTGACCAGACTGAAAGCAGGTCATGACCTGGTTTCAGAGGAAAGATGGTAAATATGTAGAGCAGAAAGCCGGGGCTGAACAAAATGTACATTTATGTATGTAGAACTTTACTGATAGTTTTCAAATAAAGACTCGCAACCTGAGCATTGAACAAGTATCAGTGTTTATCTGAGGGTTGAAACATTTACAGTAGTGTTCAGAACTCCAGTGTATTATGGCATTATATTGATATCAGGGTAGAAAACCAAAAGCACCGGTGGAAACGATTCAGATTCAAATGTCTCTGCATATAAATTACAGTCACACAAAGAGAACAAGCCAAGTTCTAACTCTTTATACACAATGCCATCTACAGTAAAATACATATACATCAGAATCTGGGGGAACATAAATACATATGCCACAACAGCAACAGTTTAAATTACAACACACGGCTATTTGACAGGAACATTTCATGTGCCACTGGAAAAGTGGATTATGGTGGTCCATAAACAAATCTCAGCTCAGTCACACTGGGCTGCGTATCAAATAATGCTGACTGAAAGGAGCTACAGTGGAAAAACACTGACTTACAGCCGGGTCAGAGGTCAGAGAGGAGCAGGTCTGTAGCACATATTTTTTACTTAGGCATATGTGAAAGTAAAATTAATATTTTTCACACATGTTTGTAAATGGAATCAGTTTACAACCACACCTCATGAGCATAAATGTTGTGTTATTTTAGGAATTCAAATGATTGGTCCAGTAGAGTCACCTCGACCAGGGAGCGAAATCACAAGCTTTGCATGATTTTGCATGTAAAAAAGTGCATGCGATGCTTGTACTACGTATCCCACAATGCTCTTCTGGTCCATCGGTGGACAAGTCAGGCCCCACTTACTTTAAACACTTTTCCTTGCTACTCCAAAGCATGGACTTCAGTGGTTACATTGTTCTGTATATCAGCCCTGGTCCTAAAGGCACAATGCCCTGCATGTTTTAGGCATTTTCCTGCTTCAGCACACAGGATTTCAATTGATCGCTGATTAACAGGCTGAATTGCAATCATCTGAAAGGGAAGTGCTGAAGAGAAACATCTAAAGCCAGCAGGCCAGTGTGCCTGGAGGACCAGGGTTGGGAAAAGCTGTTGTGTTGCTGTGAACTGGTTATACTGATTAAACTGGGAGTATCATCAGTTCTTGGCCAAATCATGAAAATCCCTAAAGCAATATGACATGTATGCTGGTGAGTGTATGTCAAGGTTTGAGTGGAGCTGAATATGTTTGTTCACTTTTCATAGCAAATATGAAAAGAATATTTTCCTTATATACAATAAACAAATGTAAAAAGGTCTCCCTTAACAACCGTTTTCTGGTCAGTTCACAAATTCTTAAAAAACAGCAAATATCCCACACAGGAGGTCTTTTTGTCAGTAGTAAATAGTGCATCATTGTTTGTGTTTTTATTTTCAACAGTGAAAATGTGGCTACAATTTACAACAGAAGGATGAAGTGTTTGAAACTTACTAAAAAAAAAAAAGAAACCTGCTCGCGTTTTTCAGAAATGCATCCGCCTCAGGACTCAAGTAAATTACAGATTTTGATGGAACAGTTTGAACAGAAAATTATTGCTTTCCACACAGGGAGATGCATTGTCTCAGGATTCATGTTTTGTAAATAGAAAAACAGTAGTTTGCAAAATGACTCAGGCCAAAACATATTTCCTTTGGTTCCAGTTGAAAGGAGTTGGACTTTCTTGTAATGTTTTAGAAAAGTCAACTGTTTTTTAGCTGACTTTTGTTTCTCTTAAACAGCTATACGGAGTAATAAAATACTTTTTTCTACACTTTGATGAATTTGAAACTATTGCATAAGATAAGACAGGCCTTCATCACCTGCTCATTCATTTATGATCAGTGAAAGAGTCCAGTCAAATACGGCTTTCTGGTATGAAAGCCTAAAAAGAGATGACTTAAGCATTTCCCGCTGTCTCAGTGTTGGTTTGATGGTTTCAAATACAGAAACTCTCCTGACAAATCAATCTATCTGTCGTTCCGCTGAAGTTCTTGTTGCATGCAGAAGACAGAGCAGAGGTTTAAGGCCTTGTGAAGAGAAGAAGTGATGCCTAAAGCCTGTCCTGAGGCATTTCAGCAGCAAATATCTGATGACTTGAGTTGATTCTGTGTGTCTTCCACAATCTGCAGTCCTGTGACTGCATGGGACAATCTGAAGATATATTCAGCTGGAGAAATTGCAGAAAATTTGTTTCTGGGTTAAATTCTTTGTTTCAACGTTTTTTTCACTGTATACTATACTGATAGAGTCGTGAAAATGTTTTCATAAAAATAAATAATTTGAGCTTTGAATTGTTTCTTTTTTACAGACTTACACAGGTGAAAAGTTTTTCAAGCTGAAGATGTGAAATAAAAATGAATATGTTTGCTGTCTTTAAAAAAAAAGTGTTATTTCAGCACCTGCTGACTGTAAGAACTCCAGACATTCATCCTAAATGAAAACGAGCATCTGGATGGCAGCTTTACGGTAAAAGCTCGCTCAGTCCTCCCCTTTCAGTTTCTGTGTGACACATTTGATGCGGATGTTTTCTCTGAGGTTGCGGAGGCGAGCGCTCCGACTTGTGATTTCCTCCACGTAGGTTTTGGGGAACCAGCCCCGCTCCCCATCTGACAGCCTGATGCCCTCCACCCAGCCTGCAGAGACACATCAGCATCTACACATCAAGCGTCACACGTTTTAGACACGCATAATGCTTTCACTAACATCCATGAGGAGGTGGGAATGCAAGTTCATAGCTTACCCTTTCCACTGTTACACGTTTTGTCACATTATTTCTACAAACATTAGTTTTTTTATATGTTAGACCAACACAAAGCCATACATAAATGTGAAGTGGCTTTCAAAATGTTTTACAATGACATTTTTTAAAAGTGTGGCCTGATAAAACAGCTCAAACCCTAAAACATAGGACAAAGATAATGCATTAATATTAGTCTCGCCACAGACTCTGTATTTGATTTAAGTCTGGACTTTCTAATAGACGAATATGTTTTGGTCTACAGTATGGCACTACATTATAACTTATTTGCAGCATCTACAAAGTTTTTTTGTCCTCCCATTAATTCTGACCAACTTTGATATGACGAACACCGTGTTTCACATTGCTGTGTTCATTTTCTAATAAGGTCAATTCTGGTGTTATTTACAACAATTTTTTATCAATTAGGTGATTGTGGAAAGAATTTTGTTCCAGAGGTTTTTCTCAGTAAATGCACAAAGCACATTTCACATGTAAAAATGTTGGAATCAAGTATTGTTTTTAAACCAATTTACACTTTACTGCTGTTTTCTGTTGGTTAGTGTTAGTATGATTTAAAAAAAAAAATCCATTGAAGGTTTTGGTTTTCACGTGACAAAAAAATTAAAAAAAAAAGTAAAAAAAGTATTTTTACAAGGCAAAAAAACTGACTCAAGACTCTTACCATCACTTGTAATGGTTTTAGCATGAAGAATGTCAGCTTTTTCCAAAGTTAACTCATCGTGCTCTTGGGCTTGATAGCTTTTAATGCACTGCACCTGGGATATGTCTGCAATAAAACACATAAAAATAAGGGGAAAAAACCCCATCTTGCCGCAAATACATTGATATGCTGCACAAATAAACATCTCTACTTACCATCATTTTCACTGGCCTGCTCAATGTCTTCAAACGGATCAGATGGAAACATTGCTGTGATCCATCTCTGCTTACCACTCCTTGGCAGACAGAACCAAAAAGAACAGTTCACTTAAAGCAACCCTGAGTAGAGATGATGAGAGAATGTTTCTTTGTTTGTTTGGCTCACTCTGTGTGTGATTTGAGAAGGATCTGATGTTTGAGCTGCTGGCCTTCACACAGCTGCAGATGGAAGATGAAGCCCGAGATTCCTTGCAGCTTCTGGCTGAGATCCTTCACTTTCAGCTCTCCAATCTTAGCATGCACAAATACCATGAACTTCCACGTCCTGCAACAAAAACAGATGAGGTTTTGCAATTGAAATCTAAGCCAAATGTCTTACTTTAATACAAATGTTTTTTTAAATATGTGTAATTATAATTCCAGTGCAGTAACCTAAAAAACTGTTTATTGAAAATAAACATGTTTATTAAATATTAAACCACGTGATGCATGATAAGTTAAACCACCGGTCACCTCCATTCTTTGTATTTATTCATTTAGGAGACAACAGAAATTTGCATCCTTTGGGACATGCAACAAACAAATCCTTGCTGTTATACATTAGATAAAAACTATAAAAGCAACATGTTTTGAAAAAACACGGGATACAATCTCTGCACTAAACAGGCAGTCAAATGAAACTTTAATGCTTACTCCTTCCTCCTGGACAGCAGCAGGCAGTCGTTAAACAAGTGGAGGTACACTGGCTTGGTGGGCAGCTTGAGTTTCGATCCCGAAATGCTCATCATCTGGGTGTCCACTTCCAGGAGTTCACCGTGCTTCACCAACCAGCGGGACTGGGAGATGAGAGGAAAGATCTGCACAGGAAGAAAAGCAGTCTCAGAATGGGTCGGCTAATTGGGTCAATCGAGCCAAAGCTGCTAAAAACAACAAGAAAAATCCACAGAAGTAACTTGCTTTGCCCTCAAAGTTGATTTTTTTGTTGAGGTGGATGAGTTCCTCCATCCTCTTCATAGACTGCACGCTGGAATTACACTCTTTGATGATCTAAGGAGGCACACACCAACACTGTTACTACTGCTACACCTCATCTGCGATGACTCCGGTCTTCTGGTCATTAGAGCCAACTGTCCCCACCTTTTTTAGCTCGTTGAAAGCCTTTGTTGCCGTGTCCTCATCTCTGGAGCCTGGTGTTGTCCTCTTTAAGATGTTCTGAAAAGTAAAGATGGTGTAAGAAGGCAAGCCCTAAGGTAAACTGGACTTCTGCTTCACAAGTTGGACGGAAAGAACATGGTTTCCGCCAAAATATCAGTCTAAATTTGACAGAGTGTTTCGAGGGTGAACAGGATCCCTGCTGTGAAAGTTCAAAGTCGTACCTCCACCAACATTTTGAGTCGTGTGATCCTCTGAAACGGGAGGATTAAAAAGGAGGTCAGGGGCAGCCTTTGGCAGATGGGGTCCTCCTCCAGGCGAGCCAGGATGCCAGGGAATCGAGGGTTTTCCTGCCTGAGAGGGCATTTACAAATGAAACTCTGAATCTCTTTTTTGGTGAATCAAACTTCCAGCTGTTTTTACTCCTGAGACAGAAAAAATTGTTTAACTCAGCCAAGAAAGGGTGCCTGCAAGTTAAGTCATGCAGGTGAGAAATTGCAGCTGAGTAGAAGGAAGATAAAGTTGGACTTTGCAACACCAGAGGACATTAATGCACTCATTCTAAAAGTATGGGGTTAATGAGGCATCTTCAGGTTTCTAATTGCATGTGTGTAGTAATCAGGGATGAACAGGGTTGTATTGTTTCATTTAATTGGTTCAAACAGCTTGAATCACAAGTCTCTGTCACATTATTATGTTGTTATGAATCTGAAAGCTTGAGAACGACACATTAAAGCCTCTAAGACACCCAAAAGTGTTAGCAATTTGCCACAAGATGGCACCCAGAATGCTGTGACGTTCCCATTCCTTCAACTATAAGAGAAAACTGAATATGCATGCTTTCAGAGGAGCTGCAAGATGAAACTGTTGATAAAGGAAAACCATGAAAAAAATTCTGCATGGAATTTGCCACAAGCCACATAAGGGACAAAGCAAACATGGAGAGGGTGAAACTCTGGCCAGATGAGACCAAAGCTCCACTTTTTGTTACAATATAATAAAAGTTATGAAGCACACCATTCCCACCATGAATCGTGGGTGATGCAGGATTATGTTGTGAGGATACATTTCTTTATAGAGAGAGGAAAGTTGGTCGGAGTTTATGGGTGATGTGAGATATGAATTCATTTTAGGTTTGAAAAATATGCATTTACTTCCTTAATCTTTACAATCATGTCCTACTTTCTAGTGGTCTCACATGTAAAATTTCAATAAAGACATTGATAGTTGTGGTGAGAAAAATGAAGAAATTCAAGAGTGATGAATCATACTCTTGCAAGCTTCTCTGTTATTGTGTTTGGACAGCTGGAGGTTTGGCTTAGAGCTTCTGCACAAAAGCAACCAAGAAGCACAGGCTGCACCAAGAGTGCATACTCAGATCTGAAGCAGATCAACTGAACATAAACCAAAAACAATTACTCACAGCAACCGCTGGTATGTCTGCTCCTGATAAGCCTGGTTGGTTACGTAAGGCAAATAGACCCTTCTCAGAGCCGGGCAGTGATCCAGGACTATGTCACACACATCAAAACGGAGAATGTCTTTCTCCAGCCTGTGCTCCAGGTCCTGAAGGAACCTGCAGACAGCGATGGAGGAGAGAACGCTCTCCGTGAGTGAGGATTGACAGCTGAAAGTGTTAAAACATAGAGTCTGAGTGCAAGGGAGGCAATCAGCTGCAGATCTCTTCACCTCTCACTGACATCTTTGACTTCAGGCAGCTTGGAAAAGAGCCACTGCTTCTCCTGAGCCCCAAGACACTCGGTGAGCTCCTGAGACAACATGAAATGGTCCACAGCAATCGTCAGGCTACGAATGTATGATGCCTCAGAAGTTACCAGCTCAAACTTTGCCTGAAGGGGAAAACACAAAGAATTGATGAAGTCTAAGAAGGGATGAAACAAACTCCGAAGGAAAGGCAGCCTGACGTTTCGTCACCTCCTGCAGTTTTCTCTCCTCGTTGCTGAAGGTGTCTAACTGACCGCTCGTTCGCACATCAGGTATATCCTGCCACAGTGCAAATGCAGAACCTCTAGAAGAGCGAAAGGAGCTGGATGGAGAAAGATTTGAGGGAGATGGAGTTCCATCTGAGCCTTCATCTCTGAGTCCCTCCTCCTCTGTCCCTGGATCCTTCCCTTGTTGCCTCTGGATCTCTCGGTTGATTGCCACGTCGCTGTATTCCTGGTAGAGGATCGCTGCAAAATCAAAAATGTTGACAGGAGAATTTTTTTGTTACAGGAATAACAGATGGCAAGATAGGCAAATTTAGGCAAACTTACAGCTTGGCAAAAAACGTGACAGGCGATTTGAAGTGGGAAATGATGAAGGAACGCTCACGTCTTCCTCTATGGATTTCTTTCGCATTCTGTGAAACCACAACAACAGATTTTATTTAAACGGCACAGATTTACTGAAAAACGTATTCTCACATTGGATTTTTGTTACCCAAGTTTAGTGCTCCACCGATGAGAAGAAGACGTCCCGTTGTCGCCACTGGGCAGCGGAAGCCCAGTTCCAACAGGACTGTAGGTGCCGCTGTCGCTAGAGCCTCCTGAGCTGCGATGTCTAGAGTTATGCTTATCTACAGCGAATAAAGACAAAACGTTGAACATGTGAAGAAACGTATCAAACTTGAGTCAGTCGCAGCAGTTGAATGATTCAATGCAAATAGATTGAGCCCTACTTAGATAAACCATGTGGCACTCTTGTAAGCAACAAACGGACAACAATTCACACAAGTTCACCAACATCAGATGGTGACAGACTCCCAAAAACTTTGCCTGGTTCAAGAAGAAAGGGCAATGCTTAATTCTCATGAAAGGACTGATCCAAATTTGATTCCAAGGAATGGTTCAGCGCGCGGTGGTTTGCACACTTTGCACCAAATAGTACAAATTGAGCCTTGCTCTGACTGCACATCCCACCAGAGAGTTGTTGCATAATAGATGAGCAGTGAAAACCTCTGAAACAACGTTGTGATGGCATAACGTATCATAACATCCATCCATCCATCCATCCATCCATCCATCCATCCATCCATCCATCCATCCATCCATCCATCCATCCATCCATCCATCCATCCATCCATCCATCCATCCATTCATCCATCCATCCATCCATCCATCCATCCACTCACAGTCCGGGTTGGGGCTCAGGCTGTTGGAGCTCTGCTTGTCTCTGGAGGCCACCCGAGCAGACAATGACTTGCCCAGCTTTAAGGTGAACGAGTTCTTCCTCTGGGAGAGTTGCAGTCTTGATATTAGCTCTGAAGCCGAGAAACGCCGGCGCTCTTGGTCAGTTTGTCGACTGCGTGTCAAAAAGCTCACTCCTGGGTGAAGCGATGTCTCTACGATGCCTCCCTCCTCCTCCTCCGCTCCGGATTCTGAGTCCTCTATTATCTGCAAGGGTTCTGACTGAACACTGAAAATATCTCCATGGCTGATGCTTGGGAGATCTTGCGTGCCATCTGTGGACGAGGGAGTTGAAGCTGCATCCAGAGAAGATAGTCCACTGAGGTCTTCCTCCAGAAAAGAGGCAAAAGGTCCGGGGAAGATGTAGTCTGCCTCCAGGATTGGACTGCTGAGTGATTCATCGCTTGGGCTGTCTGGAGAATAAACCTGCACCTTTCGCCCTGAGGACAAGAAAAGAATCATTTTACCTTAAATGAAAATGAGTTAAAAGCTTCTAAAATCTGATTTGCTCCGTCAACTCACGAATAGACTTCTCTTTCAGAGATCCCTGTGATGTTCTCCTCTGAGGCTGGCTGGCGTGTTGGCCAGGAAACTCTGGACATTCTGGTGAGGATGAGGAATAAGGTACCTGAGATTCCCAGGAGTCCCTGTTTGTGTACAAAGAGGACAGAGGAAAGGACAGAGGAAGGCTGAAAGCTGCGTGGAGTGGGCGGCAAACTGTCGTTACTGTCCGAGGCTTCTCGTTTTGGTCCTGCCAAGAAGTCCTGCTGCTGTTCTGCTGAACAAACTCAGCGTCATCCACAGCGTGTGACGGAGTGTTTACATTCATTCCATGCTCAGTGTGTGTCCTGTGTTTGCCTTTTTGCATGTCATTCAGTTCATTAAGAGTTTGTCGTAAACCATTTAAAGGTTGAGAGTGTGTATCTGAATCACTGTCCTGCCTCTGAGAGCCAAGACCGTTTAACTTAGAAGGTGCTGGTTGTTGTAGCTCAATGAACGCCAGCGTTTCCTGCTGGCACACCGCCACGTGGTTGGGATGGATGGGATGGAGGAGAGGCCGACCCTCCTTGGACTCGCTCGGATTGTGAGACTCTCCGGAGCCAGGAATCCACATGCTGGGGCTCTCTCCTCGGCAGCGAAAAGCGTGAAGGTGGGGATGGAAATCAGGAAAAGGTGAGAATCCATACCCAGGGAGCATGGCTAGACAGCCACATAGGAGCTGCAGCAACATAGACATAAAACAAAAATGGAATTAATTTGCATGCAAGTGTGAAATGGAATCAGTGTGGTATTGTACTGCTGTGATACATCATACAATTACTGTTAAGGTAGTGTATGTAACTTTTATAAAAAGTAGTGTAGCACACCCTGGTGTATCTTTGAAAGCATGCAGCTACATTATTAAGACATTATTATAGAAAGATTCACAGGTAAAACAACAAACAAACAAAAACAAAAATATTGAGATGTTCAGGATGTTAAACAGCCAGACCCAGGCCTCACAGATAGACACCCACACACACACACACACACACACACACACACACCACACACACACACACACACACACACACACACACACACACGCACGCACACACCACACACACACACACACACACACACCACACACACACACACACACACACACACACACACACACACACACACACACACACACACACACTCTCTGACGTCTGGTCTGCTGTGTCTCCTGAGCAATGACTTCCTGCTCTAATTAAAGACTTCTCCACATGGTATCCAGCCCCTGTACTTAACATCTACAAACGCGGCGACACGGCAGCCCCAGACAGAACCCCACAACAGCGGCACAGACAGAGGAAGACGGCACATCCTCCGCGCTCTCGCCTTTTGCCACCTGCACCAAGCGATCACAAAGGCTGTCAGAGTCTTTGATGGCAGGTATCGCTGCTCCACTGAATACTTGTTGTGAACTTCTATTAATAACCAGAAATTGGTTATGGAGGAAAATGACATGACAGAGTTGTCGAACACACACCAGGGCAGCTCTGTTGATTTTTACGCCGCTGCTTCCTGAGCAGCTAATCCTCAAGACCTGCTTTTAAACACCTGTTACAGGAACTCTGACGTACGTCACCATGCAGCCTCCTGCACAGGAGAAGGCAAAGATTCTTGTCTTCTGGTTGGCTGCTGTTGTTAACTCATTAAAGTAAGAGAACCTAATTCTTCCATTTTTAAGCAGCAATTATTCTCTTTGGCCTTTAAGGGAAGAACACGCCTGAGAGAGGCAAAACTGTAGAGGCACATAAAAGTAATGCTGTGAAACGGGGCGTAAAGTTGTCCTGGTTCAAAGCAGTGAGCAACAAGCACATAAACAAGGGGGACAAATCACAACAAGACACTAGAAAACCACAAACACAAATGTTAAAATCAGCATATTCACAACGTTAGGAGAAAACTGAACTCAACAATGCTGTTTTCTTACATTAGAAACTTAAGCTGAACCCCACATTTAGCAATGTTAGGTTCTATTTGTGTCTATTTGCACTCTAAGAACCTTTGAAGACAAACTTTGGCTATTTTATCCAGAAAACAGTCAATATTTTCCATCAAAGGCAAGAGCTCGGTGGCTGCTGTGTGTAAAGGGTCTGGCAGAGTCAGGTGAAGTCAAAACATACACTTCTGGAAGTTGAGGACTTGGGTTCTGTTTACAGCAACAAACACACCCACAAAATTGTGACCAATCATTCAATAGTTTCACATGAAGAAGTTCGTCTAGGAGACTGTGACAAGAAGAGGTAGATCCCATGAGGCTAAGTACAAAATGACCCAAAGCTTCGTCATCGGTTCAACAACAAGAACCGATTTCAGAATCGGCACGCCTGCAGTCTGCCTGCAGAGTCCTTAGCAGGCTTAGCTCAGGCTTTTAACACATTCATTTGTCTTTGTGGAAAGTATTTGCTAATATACGCCTGTCCTCTTGCCTTAAAATGAACAAATTTCTTACTGGACTATTGAAGGCTCTAACCATCAAAACTGTCATTACTGTACATATCCTGCTGCAAAGACAAACACAGGAATGAAGCTGCAGCCTCCTATATGTTTTAACTCATAAGTTTTTTCTCCATCCATCACACAAATAGCCAGAATGACACAACAAATGTCAATAGTTCAACTTGTTGACATTTTATTAGCTGATGTGCTAATAAAATGAGGTACATTTGGTCACATTTGTGGCTCTAGTTCCAATCAAAGAAATTATCAGCCAACTTTTCAGTCTCATTTTGTTTTTTTACAACTAAAGTAATGAAGCAATTAAGGTAAGACAATTTTATTTATGTAGCACATTTTCAGCAACAGAGCAGTTCAAAGTGTTTTACATGAATTAGAAGGAAATACAAACAAAACAAAACACCGAAAGAAAGACAAAAAGGTAAAAGTATAAAACTACATATTGGTTTCCTATATTTAATAAGAATAAGTCATCTGTAATCTATAAACTGGTGAGGGTTTCTCTGGATTCTTGTTCTGTTAGAAATAGCTATAAATAAAAATCAATAACTGCTTTAGTGATAAATTAAAGTGTATCAACAGCTCAGTGTACAAAAGAGATTTGAATAGCTGGAAGAGACCAGGCTCCAAACACTAAACATCAACTGATGAAGGAAGGGAAACTAGTCTATGAGGGGCTGTTTAGGACAAAAACTACGTTTTGTGTCTCACACACTACTAAAGACTCATACACACACAAAATATTAAAATTGCACATACATAGTATTAAAATGTCACACACGGATACAATCTTTCTCTCAACAAACACAAAATACGAGCGCTTGGAAGTTCACTTGGGCTCTAAGAAAGCGAGCCTCCTAACGCTTGAGGAGGGAGCGGTCGAGAACAGCTGGCCAAAATTAGCGTTCATAAATCGGATCAACCTTGAGCTCAACATGGAGCGCCGATTTCCAACTTGAAGCAAACTTCACTGTGGTGTCAACGCATGAGCGATCTGATCTCTAAATTATGCCCCGTCTCTTCCATGAGACGCATACACACGCATACAAAAATTTGTCTTTCACACAAATACAGATTTCATCCCCATTCATTCATTCATTCATTCATTCATTCATTCATTCACACCCTAGTGTTAGTTCACACACACATACATTTTCGACCTGTCATTCAGAATGTGTATTTCAATAGTGAATATGCAAAATGTTAGTATGTTGTGTGTGAGAGAGAAAATTGAATGTGTGTGTGACATTTTAAGTATATATGTGCAATTTTAACATTTTGTGAGTGTGAATGAGTCTTTAGTAGTGTGTGACTGATAAAACATAATTTTTGTCCTAAACGGCCACTCATATTAGTCCATGTTTAGTTTAATTTACAATATGCAGTGGACTCGACACCCAACACAACAAAGTCAGATATCTTTCATAAAGCTTCATAAAGCTGATTTTACATTGTAAAATCAGCCTGTCATTTCAAAAGAGCTGCACAGAAGAAATAATGTTCCTTTTAATTTCACTTTGCAGTTGCTTCAAACAGAGTGAATAGTGTACAGTGGGCACTTTAAGACAAAAAGGCCGACCGAATGTTAATTTTTAACTTTTTATCTTTCAACTATTTAATCCTGTCAGCATGCACCTGAGAGCTATTAAACCATACAGGTCATTTATCATTTGCCGTTCATATTCATGTTCGAAGGCCACAAATATTAGCAAACTATGACTGTTTCCTTTTCTTTTGCGTTTCTGAGTATTAGATTACATCTCTTTTGCACTTGCGAAATATACTCACATGGTGTTTCTGAAGAACACAAAAGCATACTTAAACATTTGTTTCTCAAAGTACATCTGTCTACATGTGCTGCTCGATGTCTTGAGAATCGCAAGGTGGAAATCACAGTTTATCTTTCTGTTTACCAAGCGCACTTGTGGCACATTTGGCGAACACGAAGCCACTGAAAAGCCACACCTGCTCTTGTGGGGTAGGCCAGCCAGAAAATCCTATCCGTCTTTGTTTCAGAAAGACACACACACACACACATGCGCGAGCGCACGTAGATGCACATTGCAGGGCTGGCACAAATGGTTACCTGTTCCCGGCTGCACACAAAGAAAACCTTTATGTGCTTACCTGTGCCAGGCTGCCCCGAGCACAGGACACCTGAGAGGGTGTGGGAACTACTTCCAATCATCCACTCCTACAGTGCAGCCACTGAGCCATATAAATACATCCATACCACGGCTGCATAATGACCCAATCTTAAAGGTGTCTGCAGGTGATCAGCCACTGCTTACGCTGTAATCCTGCTCTGTTTTCAGGTTTATGCAAACTTTGCTTAACTGCAGCTATCGTCTGTAACCTTGAGATCAAAGCTGAGTTATTTACAATATATTACAGAGACAAAATGATTTAAATGCCGCAATCTGAGTGAATGAGTCTTCTCTCAATCCTGCACTAACACTAAGTCCATTGTAAACCAACCCCATCTTACAGGCAGAATTAGCCATTTTTCTTATTTGATCAAACGATCACAAAAAAATTCACGGTAAGCTTCACCACCAGCACATGAAAGCATCGAGCTAAACTGCACATTCCTCGCATTGATACAATTATATCACGCCATTAAAATTTTACTCCAAAGACGTGTAATTTTGCTTGTCACACCAGGCTGTTATTTGTGACTGTTATGGACTTTGCTGCCATAGTTTCATCCCCTGTAATTTCACCAGGCTGATCCAAGACGCCATGTCTAGCGAAGGGAAGTTAACGAACGACCTTCTGACACGTCGTTAACGGCATCAGGCACATGAGGAGCACTTCTCGATTTTTCACATTTTCATCTCGAACAATCCTTTGAAGAAGCGGATCACGTGAGGAGTTCCGACCCCGCTGCTGGTTCAGCTCCTTGACACAGCAAAAATGTTCTGTAATCACATAATTAAAGTGCGTTTCACAGTTCCCAGGATGGAGGGGAGGATGCTAAAACAAACGGATTCAATGCAGGATTCAATGTTCTTTATGAGGAGGTAAAGGTCTGCTCTGTTTACTTTGCAGATGTTTGGGAGAATTTCGCTAACAGTGTTTTAAAGAGGCAACATGTAAGTGGAGGATGATCACGTTAATCCTCTGCGTAGTTAAAACGGATTATAATGTGTTTGCTTATGTCTGACGATCAAACTCTAAAGTATTATTCCAAGATAAAAAGAAACCCCTGCTTAAAGAAATCCTTAT